TGTCCCAGGCTACATGGCTGTATGTCCGAAATCACCACTCTTCTAGCATTAAAAAACTCCCTCAGAACTTCATCCACAACCTCAAAGTCAAGAACATTACCCGGCAGCGGGTCGATGGTTACGATGGCGAGGTCCTCGTTCCTCCTCTGAGCTCTTCTTGAAGCCACCGCCCGGACCATCGTCGGACGATTCACCACATCCTACCACACCAAGGTCCGCGGGACAAAGGGCCTCGGGTCAGCCCGCTGATACACCATGTCAATCTAAAGCTCGCCGGCGGGAGGAGAGGTAGTGCACTGTAGCTCCGTGATGGGGTTTTCTTGCTCAGAAGGTGGAGGGGTTGCCGCGCTCACAAAGGGAGCAGAGGAAGGCAAAGAGGTAGCCGGTGACCAAGCCAAGGGGTCTAAATAGGCCAGGACGTTAAGATCCGGCCTTTCACAGCCCACTTGCGAGGAGCCCGGACGAAGGTGCCAAGAAACAATTAACTCTGGCACAAGTTTCGGCTTGGCCCATGGTGGCAAAAGGGCCGCGACCATTTCCCCAAAGGAATTAAACACAGGCGGCTGCGAGGGGCCCGAGAGAACTGAAGAGCTGAACCAGCTTGGCGTTTTAACTAGCGCCGTTTTCTCCTTCCCATTGTCTGCTACTTATCGAGTTTTACTGGCCAGCTAAGGGCACGAGGCGAATACATGCCCCGAGGCGAAGCATGCACGACATTTGATTGGCCAACGACAATGACTCCTGTTATGGCCAGTAGCAAGGCATCTAACGCAAGCTGAAGCCATGGCGGCGCCACCGTGTCAAAGTGGCCGGAGCTAGGATGAGGGGGCGCAACGCCGTAAGGAGCAGGTTCCAAGCGTTCAAAAACAGATTTTCTAGGAGGAGCAATACGCTGAAAAGCCAAGATACAAGCCGGGCCATTGCCCAAGGGAATGGCGTTGGCCCCGGAAAGGGGAGGTTTAGCAGCAGAAGAACGAACAACCGCTGCATAGGAAGGCTTGACTGGACGTCCATTGAACACAGGATGCCAAGAACTGCGTTCTTCCTCCAAGAAAAGCTCAAACTCGCGCCGCCAGTTAGGACCCCCATTGTCCCAAAGATGGAAGGATACCTTGTAGAGGTCGCATTCAAAGGCGAAAAGACGGCGGATGAACAATCTGGTTTCCTTAGAAGCCACAGAAAACTTGAAAACACGATCGCTAAGGGCAAAAACCTTGAAGCACGAAGCAGAGCCACCAATGGTGCCCTGAAGAATCAGGCTAACCGAGGATTCTGAGAGCCTAAACTTGCAGCGACCAAAGGCAGCGACCAAGAACAAGGAATCCGAAAGGGATGAAGACACCGGAATCCCCAAAGTCGTTCTAATCTCATCCTGGACTCGCAAGCCCGGCAAGAATGACAGCCCAGGAAGCGCCATGGCGAGAGAAAAGAGGTGAGGGGGAGCTTACTTTAGATGACGAGCAGCAGCTGGAGACAAGAGGGAGCGTCGTCATCCATGGCTAGGTGCTGAAGGGGGTATCTTATTCCTGATTGTCCCTTCCACTCAAAGACATGAACCCAGCAGAAGCTACTCACAGGTGTAAAGTGTAAACAGTTGCAAAACAACCAAACGAGGCCTTCACCAATGATAGTTTAAACATAGTGGATGCATAAAGAAGCTCACAAGTCACCTCACTCTCAAGAAGCAGAGTTGCACGATACATCTTTCTGTCATATATTTTCTCCTATTTTTCTATTTCTATTTTCAAAATAGGAAGTTCTAGATAGAATTTGGGTACCATAGGTCAGGCCATTACCATATATAACATAAAACTTCTCCCCCAATTTTGTTTAGTCGAGCTTCTCGATCAGTCATTATACCTCGAGAAGTAGAAAGAATAGCAATTCCCATTCCGCCTAAAAACCTTAGGAATTCCTTGATAGTTGGCATAAATTCGTACGCTTTAAAAGGTTCTAGTTCTACTCCCTCCGTCCCAGAATGAAAGTTGTTATGAGATGCGTGCAAGTAAAACTTTCTTGATTTTAACTAGGTTTGTAAAAAATACGTGCAACATTTATATCTTTAAATAAGTTTACTATGAAAGTATATTCAATGATTATTCTAATGATGCTAATTATGTATAAATCTTTTATATATAATTGGTCAAAGTTAAAAATGGTTGATTTTTTGGGGAGCGAGAATAACTTATATTTTGAGACAGGGGGGGTATATATTTCCTTCTCTGGATAGTAGCAAGACTAGGGCTCTCTTATATTCTTTTATTTATTGTAGCCAGTTTGCAAAATATTGTATTATTTCATTCAGCAGCAGGGATTGGAATGGAAAGACTATATCTACTACTCTACCTTAATCCACACGATAAATTTTCTGAATATGAATAGATTGTTGAATTGTTTGGTGGAAGCCAGTGGCAGGGAGAGGGGGCCAAGGGCCAAACCCTCCTAAGTTAGTGTAATCTTTATTGAAAATTTTAAATTTGAGTAAATTTTGATAAAATTACACTGCTGACTCCTCTAATAAAGGAATAAAGGAAGGTTCATATTTTTTTTGACTGTCACTAGTGGAAGCCAAAGGGGGAGGCTTCTATATGTCCTGAAAGGTAGGTAGGTGCCGACTTGTTTAGTTTTATTTTATTTTTTGTTCCTAGAAAATGCCTTGGGGTGGTTCTTTTGTTAGTTAAATTAGTTCCATCACTTTTGGCATCGCGGCTGTCAGTCTTTCCTTGATTCTACCGTTCGAAGTCTTGCAGGTTTTCAGATGTTACTATGATATATCAATTACGTCCCTCCTGGGAGTTGACACGGTAGGAATTTCCAGAGACGTGTTAATTTACTATATTACGATAATTACTATGTTAATTTACGAGATTATAGTAACTCCTTACTAAGTGGTTTACTATAACGTTATGGTAAATATCCCCATGTGTTATAGTAACCCAACTATCATACCTTATTGTGTAGCCATTTTTGAGTTACGATAATTACTATGTTAATTTACGAGATTATAGTAACTCCTTGCTAAGTGGTTTACTATAACGTTATGGTAAATATCCCCAACTATCGTAAATATGTATTGACATTATCGTAAATTAGTATATAAAATTATCGTAAATAGAGGTGGCTACAGAATAACTTATTTTGTAGCACATTATCGAGGAGGAAGCCAATTTGGACAGGCTTTGGATGCTGACCTCCATGTGTTTCCTAGAATCATTCTCTATATTATTGTGTCTATCCTATAGAAACATAGAGCGTGATTTTAGGGAAAAGTATGAAGCCAGTTTCACATTTTTCTTAGTTAAAATAAATTTTATTTTTTAATATTAAATCATATTTTAGTATTTTTAAATGCATATTTATTTCATAAAAATATTCTGATATTTTCTTTTAAAATTATTTCTTCATCTTTTTTTATAAATAAAGTATAATTGACCTCAAGAACTATCATGAAAGTTTGATTTATCTTTATTTCATAAAAATATTCTGATATTTTTTTTAAAAAAATATTTCTTTGTCTTTTTATAAATAAAGTATAATTAATCTCAAGAACTATCATGAAAGTTCGATTTATCTTTATCGTGACTGATGTGACGTCACGTAGGACGATTGGCGTGGTGCCAAGTTAGCCAAAACCACTTTCAAAATTCCAGTAAGATAAATCGAATGGTTTCAAGAGTTGAAGGAGTCTAGAAATCTGATTTTCTATTTTTTCTGAGGGGAGGTAAATCAGACTCAATATAATCAGGACATTTTTCCGACCAAATACCGATCACACAGACGCAGCTCGTTCTCGTTCGTTCGTCTGGTAATTTTTGCTTGGGCCGTGAAATAAAACGAACGACCGGGCCCATGTTGGCCCAAGCCCATTCTGGCTGAACACTTAACGATCGAGCCCAGCCCTGAGCAGCGCGGCGACGGCGAACTCGCGAGCCGAGGCCGGAGGGTTTTTTTGCTCTTCTTCTCCCGGTCCGTTGGTGCTCTCTCTGCAGCTCATGGCGCCGCCGCCTGCCTAGCGGCACTACCGGCTCCGCTCCCAAAAGAGACCTAGCAGCATCTCTTCCCGATTTCAGGTATGGCCATGGATTCTTCCTCCTCTCATTGCTCTGCTGATCCCAGCAACAAACAAGTGCCCTGGCGTAGTGAAATCCCCAATCTTTTTTTTTTTGTTATTTAGCCAACCCTCGGTTGTGCAGTGTGATAGATGGAATAGGCTCGATTCGTCTGTGCTGCTCGTATAGGAGTCGCTTGGCAGCCCTGATAAATAGGTTGGATTTCGTCTGAGGTTTCTGGGGCCAGGTTTAGATGCGATTGGTAGGTGGTTACCAAATGTGCCAGTTGAGGAGGCTGCTACACATCCCCTGTTCGTTTAGTTAGCCAGTAATTTGTCGTAGTTCCTTTGTTTTAAATGTTTGAGTTGAATGTGCATACTAGGGTCCTAGTTTAATCTTTTTTCGTGGTTTCTAGGAGATGCAGGAGAATTTGACAAACAAGTTATTCTCTGTTACCTTCTCAGCTTCGTATCTGATCATTATGCACTCTTCTATATGATCTGCTTAGTTCTTATCCGATCTTTATGCTTCATATATATGTTATCTAAAGGAAAGCTCATTCGGTTTGTGTGCATACAATGTGTATTGCACTTCAATATATGGAACACTACTTTTCCACTTGCATGATCTGATCATATTCCTGGTGAAAAAGAAGCTGAATGATGGGAAATGATTCGGTACAGATAATCGATCTCCAGTTAATATCGATGTGGTGTTGCTGAGTTAACTTATTTAGTAACCTCTATGTTGGGATGGACTGAGGAGCTTTTAATATGTTTATAATAGCTTCAAAACATCATCATATGCATTTTCGCTTCTTGATTAATTTCAGTGCCATGATCTGATTATCTTCAATGATTCATACTGAACTCCATCTCCTTTATTTCAGTCTCACACTTTGAATACCTAACTCACCTTGAGATTGCCAGACTAGCCAAGCTGCATTGCTCGATGGACGATCTCCCAGAGGCGCTGCTTGCAGACATTGTCAAGTGGCTTACCAGTCCAAGTGATTTGAAATCTCTTTCTCTCGTGTCAAAGCGACTTTATGCTGTTGAGGGAGAGCTGAGGAATTCGATGTACATTGGCTGTGGCGTTTTCCCTGTGACAGTAGCCTTGATTCGTCTGTGCTTCCAGTACCCCAGTTTGTGCAAAGTGGAATTCAATTACTCTGGTTGGACTTCCAACCATGGGATTCAGCTGGACAAACATGGCCTCCAGGTGTTTTCATCTTGCTGCACCTCATTGACTGATCTCACCTTAAACTTCTGCACGAATGTTGATGACTCAGGTCTTCGCCTTTTAGTGTGCTTCAAGAAGCTGATGTCTCTGAGGTTGAACACACTACCAGCAATAACTTCGTCTGGGCTTCTCCCAGTGGTTGTTGGCTGCAAGGATCTATCTGCTCTCCACCTTATTGGCTGCAGCAAAGTAGGTGGCAATGTGGCTGGAGTACCTTGGTAGGTTTGGATCATTGAAAGAACTTGTAGTGAATCTCTGTGAGAAGATCAGCCAGTTTGACCTACTAAAGTTCGGTCCCGGATGGATGGAGCTTCAGAAGTTTGAGTTTCAGATCAAAGGTCGCCTCAGTGTATCTGATCCTCGTGATCCTTCATGTGTGGAGCACTGTCAGTATAGATATGATTTCAGCTGTGAGAGTTTGGAGGATTTGACATTACGAAGAAAACTCAGAACGAAATAGGGCTCCGTTGTCTCCTGAGCAAGTGCAAGGCGTTAAAGAACTTGTGCCTTTATTATGTTCATGGTTTACAGGACAATGACATGGTTACGCTCTCCAACAACTGCAGCAACCTTACAAGCATCTCACTTCGGTTGACACCTCAGCACAATGAAGGTTATGTTTTCAGGACATCATTGACTGATGACAGCCTTAAGGCTCTAGCCCTGAGGTGCCGTAAGCTTCAGTCTTTTGAACTCATATTTTGGGCATGTGATGAAAGCTGGCCAGAAATAGGGTTCACAGAGGAGGGCCTTGTCATGCTTATTCAGTCTTGTCCGATTCGTAATCTCATGCTAAGCGGTGCTCACATCTTTGATGACGAGGGGATGAAGGCCGTCTCATCTGCACAATTCCTAGAATCACTCGAACTTACGCATTGTATAAAAGTTACTAATGCTGGGATGCGCCTCCTGGCACATTGCCCAAGTTTGATTAACCTCACACTGTGTCAGTGTGATCGTTTCTCTGATGCTGGAGTGACTGAGGTAGCACGTGCACTGAAGCTGGAGACCCTGGTTATTGAAGGCTGTTCTCGGGTCTCTCCAGAAGCTGTGCAGGGGGCTGCAACATCAGTTCTCTACAAAGAAGATTACCCAGGCTTGTACAATCTTGGCAGAGTGTGACCATCAGCCATCAGGAAGGATGAAGCGTCCCTCATTTTGTGGCCCAGATCCAGGATTGCTCGCCATGGATGGCTGGAATTTAAATTTTACACATTTCCTTGTCAATCCTTTTACCGCTGTGTGTGGTTCGAGAATGTTAGCGTGTAGTCTCGAGATTTAGATGTTTAGAAGTCATCTGATTGTCATGAATTCATAATACTTGCCAGTTAGTCACAACTGTGGTTTACTTCTGCTTGCAGTATTTTGGCTTAGATCTTGGGAGTCGCTCTTTCAGCCGAATGTCATGAAACATTGGGTATTGGAAATGATTTGGAAGACACTGTTGCTGTTTTCTGGACGGGTGTTGTATTGTCAAGTTTGGAGTATGTCTTTTTTGCATGTATAAAGTATCGGCTCTAAAATTTTGTCTACTTTTACCATGGTTCTTCATATTTTCTGTTTTAATTTGCAGCCATAGTCCTCATTTCCACTCACTACTGACGTGTTCCTTTTTTTTTTGTTCCTTCCATTGCTCGATCTTAAAAAATTAGGAGAGCAACCTTTTCTGCCTTTGAAATCCTTCCCTCTAGTAGCGTCGCATATGAAGTTTTTCTGCCCTTGAGAATTCAAGCTTCTCTGAATTCTTTTTTGCCTATTCACCAATTAAAAGGGACACAAACTATGTTTCTATGATTTCTACGATGTACACATCTTCCATTTTCTGAATAGTCGCATGACGGGGGCTCTCTTGCAGTCTTTTATAGCTACTTTGCAAAGTACCGTCACCTTCGTTCAGCAAGGGCTATTGAAAAGACTACGGGGTTATTTGGGTCATGATCTAGGAATCTTGTATGGGTCAGGCATCGCTCTAAGGGTTTGGCTGGATACATCTGCCCGAGTGTAAACGTCCCGGTCCAGGAAGACGGCTAAAGCCCACTCTACATTTTGAACAGGCCACGCTTGCAAATAACTCTCTTTGTGTTTTCGTCCTCGCTTCATGCAAAATGGGTGATCACCAGAGTTATTCATCTTCCAGATCCAGGCTTTTAACTTGGCTGAGCTCTCCTCCAGCTTACAGTATGTATTAAACCTTGTTGCTACAGTGTATCACAAATTTGGCCCAATCGAGCGGGGTCTCACATACTCCCCATTAAGAGAATTTGATGTTGTAAGGGACCGTGACGCCTAAGAGCAGGGGGTGAATTAGACAACTTAAAAATCTACTCTAAACTATGGCCTCTAATTCCACCTAGTCAAAACATATGTAAGAAAGTAATCTATCTAGATGTGCAACTACGGTTTTGCTAGATGTGTTGCTATCTCTACCGCAAAAGAGTTATGCAACCTATGTTCTAATCCTATCAACTAGCCTATCAACTAAGCTAGGAAAGTAAAGCAATCAACCAAGGTAGCAATGTGAATGCGGAAGGTAAAGATGAGGTAGAGATGCAAACTCCAGTCGACGACTTTGATATTTTTACCGAGGTATCGAGAAGCGCTCAAGCTTCCCCTAGTCCTCGTTGGAGCCCTTCGCAAGGAATCCCTCGCAAGGGCCAAGCTCCCGGTCAGGTAACTCTGTGGATAGCCCCAATCCTTCCCCCACGCTCAAGTGGGTCTTTGGTGTGCCTTTCGGCAAGCCTCTCCCGGAATGCTCCCCGCCGTCTTCACTATCAAGCTTTCGAACGAACCGCCGCGGGCCTTATTCCCTTCGGTACAAGGTGGCAGTCGCACCACAAACGCGGTTGATGTGATCTCGCATGACCGCAACCCCTCCGATGTATAACAATGGTGCGTGCAAGCACCGAGTAATAAGAGGTGTGCAAACCTCACTAAACACTAGGTCTAAACCTAGAGCAAGCGCATAAACGATGGTCTAATCAACCTAATCATTTCGCAAAGCACCTACGCTAATCACCTAATGAATCACTAAGCACTATACAAGTGGAGATCACTAAAATGGTGTATCAACACCCTTGGTATGTTTCCTCAGCTCTCCACCCCTCGATTGGCCGGTTGGAGGTCTATTTATATGTCCCATGGAGAAAGTGATGATGAGATTGATGATGCAAGTCTTGCTCTCATGGTGAGAAGAACCGCCAAGATGCTCAAGAAGCTAAACAAGAATGGTGTCAAGTTTGATGACAAGAAGAAATTTTTCACTAGTAGTAGAAGAAAGCCCATCTCCGAAATGGTTTGCTATAATTGTGGAGAACTTGGTCATCTAGCTTATCAATGCCCCAAACCCAAGAAAGACAAGTACAAGAAGAAGTACAAGGGCAAGAAAGATGACTCAAGTGATGAAGATGATGATGAGAAGAAGAAGAACAAGCCATACAAGAAGAAGGATAGCAAGAAGAAGGAATTTCACAAGAAGAAGAATGGCAAGGCATACATTATTGGTGATTGGCTCACGGACATTGAATCATCAAGTGGCTCATCCGATGATGAAAGTGAGAATGAGAAGGAGAAGGTGGCCGCTCTTGTGATTGATTCTTCACTATTTTCACCGACACCGCCGCCATCATCCTCTACACACCTATGCCTTATGGCCAAGGGTGAACGAAAGATACAAAATGATGATGATAGTAGCGGTGATGATAATGCTAGCAATGATGAAAGTGATAGTGATAGTGATGAAGAATTTGAATCACCTTCTTATGATGATCTTGTCAAGTTGCTAAACCAATACACTAAAATCATTAGAAAGATAAGAACTAAAAATGAAAAGCTAGAACTTAAAAATGACTCACTCTTAGCAAAATATGACATAGCCGAAAAAGCTAGTGTTGAGCTTAGAGAAGGAAATAAAATTATGTCATCCAAAGTCAAGGAGCTCAAAACCTCTAAAAAGGAGCTTAGAGAAAAACATGATAAACTTGAGGGGATACATAATGAGCTAACCACTAGTTATAATTTGCTAAAAGAAGAGTACACCAATCTCAAGATTAATCATGACAATCTTATTCTTTCTCATTAGTTATTATCCAATGAGCCACATGATGCTACTAACAATGTTGTTAAGATTGATATAGCTACATCATGTGATGACTTGATTGTTGAGAGCATTGAGCAAGGTTCTAGTAGCAAAGGCAAGAAAGCGGTTGAGTCTGACAACTATGATGATTATGTCAAGCTCAAGAATGAGAATGAAAAACTCAAGAAAGATCTTGAAAAGCTATCAACCACCAACACAATTGTGATAGAGAATCTTGACAAGGATTATGATATGGCTCTTGAGGATGAGATGCTTAAAGAAGAGAACAAGAGACTCAAGATGGAGAAAAATCATGATGAACTTAGAGAAGAAAATAAGAAGCTTAAGTTGGAGAAAGTGCATCTTAAGACCGGTTTGAGCAAGTTCACAAGAGGCCAATATCTCCAAAGTGCTACTCATGAACACCGTGATGAAGATGGATAGAAGTGGTATTGGGTACTTGGCAAATCAAGAGAAGAAAGCTCAAGCTCAACATCAACAACAATACAAGTTAAAGCCTAAGCCAAAGAGATGCTTTGAGTGTGGACAAGAAGGTCACTTTGCTCATGAGTGTCAAACTCCACCACCACAACCCTTGCCCAAGCATGCTAGACCCTTTGATTCAATGCTCACTACATGCTTAAAAAGGATTCTTGTGGAAAGATAAAAGTCATGTTCTTAGGTCCACCCAACAAAAATAGGCCTAAGTGAAAGGTCCTTGTGTGGTTTTGGTAATTGAGTGATAACCTAGGTGGACTAATTGTGTTTATGTGAGATACACATGTGATTAGTCCACAGGTACATGTGTGTGAGCAACATATGCCATGAAGGTAAAGATGGCGCGGAGATGTTGCAAAGCTCACACATGTGACGATGAAGGAGCTTATTGCACATGAGACATAACATTGAGTCATGTGATCAAGGTGGAGAAGATCAAGACAAGACTTGGCTTGATGGACCGGTTGCAAGCGTGAAGGGCAAGTCGAAGGCTTTGGAGTGATGGACCGCGTGGCGGTGAAGCTTGAGCAAGACTTGGCACCGATGGACGATGGCAATGATGAAGAGCAAGTGAAGTCAAGATCGATGAACCAATAAGATCACGTGATGATATGAAGTGGATCATATCATTGTTGATCACGTTGGTGCATGTGTTGCATCGACATTGGAGGAGATAGAATGGAATGCGCAAGGCAAAGGTATAACCTAGGGCATTTCATTTCACCGGTCATAGGTGTGTAGAGAAGTTTATGACCGGGTTTAGGATAGATGGCCGTACTATCAAGAAGGGCAAACTTGTTTGCATATCGGTTATCTAGTGTCACCCGAGTGATCTAACTTTGCATCATCACTAGGATTGAGTGGCGTGGCAAGTTGAGTGGCTAACATCCTTTGGGAAATGATTGTGAAAATGCTAACACACATACACATGATGGTGTACACTTGGTGGTGTTGGCACATTTACAAAGGAGATGAAGTTGGAGTTGATGTGGATCAACTCGGCGATAAAATGGAGGCGAGAAGAGTTAGGAACTCCACCGGCGGAGTGTCCGCCCGTAGAGTGTGGACAGTACGACGGTGCCACCGGCGCCCTAGTTAGAAAAGACAGGGTCTCACAGAGTGGACTGGACTCTGGTCACGCAGTGACCGGATGCTGAGTTCCAGCGTCCGGTCAGTGGTGGCAGAGAGCATGCAGCGTCGATCTATCGACCGGACGCTGGCTCTAGAAGTGACCGGACGCTGGCTGTGAGCGTCCAGTCAAGATGATGTATGGTGACGTAGGTAGAGCAGAGAAGTTGCGAGTGACCGGACGCTGGTGCTGCATCCGATCGCGTTCGACCGGACGCGTCCGGTCATGTCCGGTACCTTACTGGAAATGATCGGACGCTGGAGGCTCAAAGTCCGGTCAGTTGAAGCTGCTGCGTCCGGTCGTCAGATGACCGTTGAGATCGGATGAACAGCGTTTGAAGGAGGGGACACGTGGCGAGTATCGCGTGACCGGACGCTGAGGTCCAGCGTCCGGTCGATCGGACCGGAGCGTCCGGTTGTC